ATAGCGAGCGTCTTACGTCCGTTAAGAGAACGCGATGTATGTACAACATCTGTGGCGCAAGAACTGCTTGAATGAAGTCTTTCCGATTGTAAAACTCTACTTCAACTCCTGGTTCAAAAGACAACATGAAGCAGCCGGGTAAAAGCTATTTTTAGATTCATATAATTGTTTCGTTTTTGTGCAGATCTCGCCGAAAGCCTGAAATGGCGGTTTGCAATTTCCGAGAAGGTAATGATAAAGTTTCTATTATGATTCACGGATCAAACAGCTGTTCCCTACGGATTCCTGGAGATATTTAAAAGCGATGCATATCGCTTCAGAAAAGAAAGGCGCCCACTGGACATATGTCGGATTAACAAAGGCAAAAATTAATGCCAAACAAAATTCATCTTGTTTTACGATGAGCTTCACTCTGTACAAGGCTCGGCAGCCACTCGAGGTAGAGGGTTAAAGAATAAGGAGCATGGTTTATGCGCATATGTAGGGAAGATAACGGTTAACCCTAGACATGAACAGGTTAAGATTGTAAGGATCGAGAAAGCATCCGTTTGGGAGTCGGTTCCACTGTATAGCTGTTCACAGGAAGAAGCTTCTCGAGGGTAACTTACTTCTAATCAACGGAATACTGAAGTAATGAGGGTGGTTCGTAACAATATGCGGATCATGGCGGGTCAAAGCCGCGAAGGTAAGTACAGGTGGTACTAATGAATGTACAAGGTGGTCCTGAAGTCTTATCACAGCCTACCAAAGATGTAATGAGAACAATAGAATATGTAATACAGTAATACAAAGCACATGTACTGGATTCAGTTTATTCATTATCATTAACGCTGTCACACATCGAGAAGGTCTGTATGAACACTATCATTTTCATGGAACAAAATCATGCGGAGCCATGTCCTGTGTGATATTTCCCAAAGGTGAGCGTTGTTAATTGTTGCAAAGGCTCCCCGTATGGCGTTCTTCAACGGATGGATATTCTGGTATCGTTTATATGAACAGAGCGTTGAAAGAAAATTATATTATGTAGGGGTGACAAGACATTCAGACCACGCTGTAGATTCACCATTAATTTCAGTGGCTTGTTGTCACTTATCAGTAAGCCTTTCGAATGCATTTGAGTAAAATCCCACGGCTTTTGATGTGCAGAACTGTTTTGATTCTTCAAAAAATGAAGTACAATTATATTTTATTCAGTTCTACAGGCTGGTCCGAAAGTCTTATCACCAACTACCGAAATATAACGACAGCCCCCCCAAAAAAACATGTAATATAGTAACACAAAGTACATGCACTGGATTCAGTTTATTCATTTTCATTCCTTATTCATTTTCAGGTCTCTATGGACACTATCATTTTCGGGTCAATCATCTGAAATAGAAAATTGTTATGTAGGGGTGACAAGACTTTCAGACCACCCTGTAGTTCGTCTGAGCACTTTCCATATAGGTAGAAACAGGTTTGTGACATCTCGTTTGAGAGAGAGTCGATTGCAGAGTGGAAAGTAATTTGTCAACGACAAGGACGCGGTGATTCTTTTGGACTCTACAGAGACTGGAGATTGAGAACTGTGCAGCTTCCACCCAAATATGGCAACAGTACTCCATTTTCGGCCTGATCTGGCTCTTGTAAATATAAAGGATAGCAGGAGGAGACAATTACTTACTGGAGCGGTACAAGAAAGCGACCATTTTTCCAGCGTGTTTAGCGATGAATCTTATGTCTGAGTTCCACTTGCTGTCTGCGGTGCGTTTAAATCTCAATTGTCGTACATTTATCCGAATGTAAATGGTGTAAATAAAGACTTGGATATGATTAGTAATGAGTTCGATCCTCACTTAGCGCCCTATTAATGTGGCCTTGTGTCAATCTAAGTTTAATTAGTATTAAAGCGTATAGATGTAATGGAATAGTCAGTACATTAGTCTGGCTGACAGTACCTATTACATTAATCTGACTTTTAAGAATTTACTGGGGAGTTATTTTATGAGAAAGAGACCACCAGTAGCCAGAAGAAAATTCTTACTTTGTAATATACATTTTTCGTATCAGTGACTCGTCTCTTCTTTTATTTCGTTATTATGGCTCTCCACAGCATCCTGTCTTTTATTGTTCTAAGTATCTTTGGATCTGAGCAGTGTTATCTGCGTATCACATATTGTTACGTTTACGCCCCTCGGACCAATAATAAATCCCGTTAGGGTCTGCAAGTTCCTTAGGGTGGCCTCGCCGTCAAGGTTGAACAAATACGAAGAGAAAAGATATACTTACTTTGCGCTCATTTCTACCTGTTTGCCATCCACATACAGACAAGTTTGCAACCAATATAATTTCTGGATTATTCTAACATACTTTTTTAAAAGACCGAGTTTTCTTAACAGTGTAATAAGAACCTTGTGCCATACCTGGTCAAATTTGTTTACGTAATCTATAAAATATTAGTGTATATCTTTTTGGAATTTTGCTCTTTCTGATATCATTTTAATAAGATACAGATTATTCGGGCTAAATTTGACAGAGTTTAACGTTTTGATTTTTTCAAATTGGTTTGGAATATCTGTAAACAGGGAACAGCGTTGTGACACTCAGTCACTGCAGTTTTAGAGATATCAATGTTAATTGACATGGACAAGTAGAAGCCACGTGAATATTGAAAAAAAAAGATAATCTGCATCATTATGATTCTCGCAGGAATTCAAAATGCCACAATCGTGACAGTTGCTCAATGCTTTTTGAACACCGTGACGATAATAACACGTGGAATGGGAGCTGTAACGGAGACTACAAGGTCGTGGTTTGTTGGAAAGAACACGGAAGACGTTCTGCTTGCCTCTGTACACCAGAATTCGTTCAACAACTGCAGGAAAAATTGATGAAAGACCCAAGCAAGAGGGAAATGGGTGTTGAAATTTCCACCATGAAGCTAGCCTTGAATGAGGAACTCCGCTATCAGTAATACAAGGAATTTAAAGGTAAAGAATGTCTAGAGAAAACCGTCGGGCTTTGGTACGGGAAATGGGTGTTGTAATTTCCACTAAGAAGATGGCTTTGAATGAAGATCTCCCGTCATGCCAGCGTTGTAAAAGTCAACTTCTTACAGAAAAGACAAAATGATCTCCTCAACAAGGTCTAACATCCTGTTGAATTAGGGGCAATGTGGTTCTTAAAGAATTTTTGTCAGAACCATTTGCACAGCACCCAGAAAAACAAATCCATTTGATGTTCCTAGTGTCATGAAGACAACGTTTCCCAAAACTGTAGTAGTTTTCGGGTTTCTCTCCAGTGAGGGTGATACAGGGTCTCAAGTTTAATTCGGATGGCTATGTGGAGTTGCAGGATACCGTGGTCAAACCTTGGTTGGAGTGGATTGCTGCTGGAAGAACGTAGATGTAGCAGCAAGATTCAGTTCCCTGCCCCCACCCCTAGGAAGAATCAGAATTGGTTCTCAAATAATTTTTACTGCTTCACCAACCCCAACGTCTGACACCCTAACTCCTCTGATTGTATTCCCAAGGATGTCTAATTTTTTTTATTGGTTTGGACTATCTGTAAATATTGAACAGCATTGTGATACTTAGTCGCTGCAGTTTTAGAGATATCAACGTTAACTGCCATGCACAAGTAGAAACCACCTGAATATTGAAAAGAAAATAACCTGATTCTCGCTGGAATTCAAAATGGCGCCATGAAGCCGGTCTTGAATGAAGAAATCCAATACCAGTAATACAAAAGGTGTAATGGTTAGCTTCTTTCAAAAAGTCTCAAATCTGACAAAGGCAAAAAAACTCCTGGACAAGGTGAAACACCCTGTTGAATCAGGGACAGTCTAGGTTCTTCTCCGATGAATTGAATTCAGGACGAGCTGCACAACAGCTTGTCTACAATCCATATGACGTTCCTCGTGTCATGAAGATCAAGTTTCCCTAATCTATCTATCTATCTATCTATCTATCTATCTCTCTCTCTCTCTCTCTCTCTATATATATATATATATATATATATATATATATATATATATATATATATATATATATATATATATATATATATATATATATATATATATATATATATATATATATATATATAGATAGAGAGAGAGAGAGAGAGAGAGAGGGAGAGAAAGTGTGTGTTCAGGGTAAATTTTACAGAATTTAATGTCTATCTTTTTTATTGTTTAGGAATATCTGTAAACATTGAACAGTATTGTGACGTTAGTTACGACATTTTTCGAGGTATCAATATTAACTGACATGGCCAAGTAGAAGCCACGTGAATAGTGAAAAGAAAAGATAAACTGTACCATCATAATCCGCGCTGGAATTCAAAATGCCGCAATCGTGACAGCTGCTCAATGCTTTTTGAACAATGTGATGACAATAACACGTGAAATGGGAGCTGTAACGGAGACTACAAGGTCGTGGCTTGTCGGAAAAAACACAGTTGACGTTCTGATTGCCTCTGTACACCGGAATTCATCCAACAACTGCAGGAAAAATTGATGGAAGACCCAAGCAAGAGGGAAATGGGTGTTGAAATTTCCACCATGAAGATAGCCTTGAATGAGGAACTCCGCTATCAGTAATACAAGGAATTTAAAGGTAACGAATGTCTAGAGAAAACCGTCGGACAAAGGCTCAGAAACTCTTGAACAATTTAAAATATCCTGTTGAACTAGGATCAATCAAACTTGAACAAGGTGAAATATCCTGTTGAACTAGGAACAATCAAACTCTTGAACAAGGTGAAATATTCTGTTGAACTAGGAACAATCAAACTCTTGAACAAGGTGAAATATCCTGTTAGACTAGGAACAATCAAACACTTGAACAAGGTGAAATATCCTGTTGAACAAGGATCAATCAAACTCTTGAACAAGGTGAAATATTCTGTTGAACAAGGAACAATGAAACACTTGAACAAGGCGAAACATAGTGTTGAACTAGGATCAATCAAACTCTTGAACAATGGGAAACATCCTGTTTAACCAGAGTGATTTCATGTCAGCTCATTTCACTGATGAATATTTGTCAGATCCATCTACATTACAGCTAAATTACAAGCCAGCTTATCTTCCTCCTGTCATGAAAGCCAATTTTTCTCAAACTATCAATCAATCAATCAATCAATCAATCAATCTATCTATCTATCTATCTATCTATCTATCTATCTATCTATCCCGCTCCTTTTTATATCTATCCATCTATCTATCTATCTGTCAAAGTGATGGAAGACTCAGACAAGGGAATGCGGGCTTTGGCGCCGGAAATAGGTGGATTACTTTCCAACATGATCTGTGCACTTCCACCATCAGGCATAGAATATTTTTTAAAGGATAAATTCTTTTAAAAAAAAAAGTCTAAAGAAAACTGCCTGAAAAAAATTAAAAAAACTCCTCAACAAAGTGAAACATCCTGTTGAATTAGGGACAATCTGGTTCATCTCTTCTGAAAAGAATTTTTGTCAGGACCAGTTGCACAACATCCAGAAGAACAGATGGCTTGCATACAATCCACATGACGTTCCTCGTGTCATGAATACCAAATTTCTCCAAATTGTGATAATATTTTGTGTGTCCCCAGTGAGGGTAATGTCATGCCACCTCACATCTTTGAACAATGTCTCAGGATCAATTCGGATGGCCATGTGGGGTTGGTGAAGCGCGCGATCAAGCCTTGGTTGGAGTGGGTGGCTGCTGGAAGAACATATGGGTAGCATCAAGATTCAGTTCTCTACCACACGAGGAAGAACCAGAAGCGGTTTTCAGACAAATTTTAAGACTTCACTAACACCAACAACTGACCCCCTAACTCATTTGATTGTAATCTAAAGGATTGTTATATGTGGGGCGCGGTATAGAAAGACACTAACTGCGCTGCCTGTAACACCGAAGCCCAGCAGATCGACAGAATATCTGCATATCGGGACACCGTGAAGGCTGCATGTGCCAGATTCCGGACTTGGATCGAGTAGATACTGAGGGTGGTTTCGTGAAATATATATATAAATGGTGGTACTCGTTTGGAAAAAAACTCGGATAGCTCAACATACAGTATGGCAAATCGGTATCCAAGGAAAAATGGGGAATAAAAAAAGAAAGAACCAAGAACATTAAGGCAAGACGAAAACAATCGTCTAGTGTTTAAGCTCCAAGTCCAAAGAGACCCCCCCAAACGAGTAAAAAGACAACTACGTAAAGTACTCAATACACTAAATAGAGTAAAACCTAAGATCCTAAGGAACCAGTCTTAAATATATATATATATATATATATATATATATAAAGACATTTATTATGTTTATACATTCATTTTTATAGATACAAGTATTTAAGTAAATCCTCTGTTCATAATAAACAGTATTAACAACATTTCCTGGCCTGAATGTCCGAGAAATGTTCATAGAAAATATGTGTCCTAGGACAGGATTCGAACCTGTATCCTATACGGAACCGTCATATAGCCTGACGTGCTTTTACCGATTTCGCCACAGAAGAGCGTTTCGGTTATCAAGATCGATTTTACTCTTTTTAAACTACAATTTTCAATGATTTTCTCACGTACATTCATATCTGCTCGATGCGTATCAAAATGTAATCAAATGACGTCACACATAATGAAATGGACAAAGTCCGACAATTATTTTAAGACATTTTTATGTTTATATATTCTTTATTCTTTTTTATAGATATAACCATAAAAATGTCCCTGCAAGAGATTCCTGGAAATGCAAAGACCAAGCCAAAATTTTAATTCTTATAACCTTTATGCCACTTTTTTTCTTTTTTTTTGGATCGATTTTTGGCTTCGATATTTACTTTGTTTTCCTTTTTTTTAAAAAAATGTCAATTTTACCCCGGTAAATCTGTATGATTAATTTTTAATTCTATATGATATAATTTTATATTATATTTAAGGACTTATATTTATATTTTGATCATCTATGATGTAATATTAGTGTATATCCTTCTGAAATTCTGATTATGTGAACAAAGTTCGAAAAGAATTATTTGAAAACATTTATTCGAAAAATATTTCTTCGAATTGTAAATTGTTTGAATGAAAATTAATCGAAAGGTCAATTAGACAAAATGATAATTATTTGACATACCTATGTTTGAAATACGTATGTGGTTTTGCTTTGAGAGGATCGATGCTGATTTACCTAGAACTAATTGAAGTATGGCGTAGGGATTTTTCAAGCAAGTGTCATCCCATCGTTCCACTGTATGGAAATCTTTAGACGTTCTTAAAAGAGAAAAGGATTGGCAAGAAATTCATATTGCAAAAGTAAAAGAAGGTTGCCAAAATATCAAGAGCGCCAAGAAATACCGCGACGTAAATGGAAAACTTAAAAATTAGTGGCATCCTTTAAAGATTACACTTCATTAATCATTCAAACAATTTACAATTTGAACAAACATTTTCGAATAATTGTTTTCCAAAAAGATTCACATAATCGATGACAATAGAGAAACACGTGTAGTTATTTGAAATACCCATGTTTGAAATATCAATGTGCATTCTATGTAGAGGACATAAAAACTTGTTGCCTATCTTCTCCCGGTTAAGCAACTCATTGGTTCTTTCTTTAATGGACTAATTCGTTTGACTAATAAATGGTACCCTGGTAAATACCAGAACTTAAGGTCTTCTCTTACGTCATTGAAACTAAAAAATCCGAAGTCTTTACGCTGACTTCTCGTGTTTCGCTGTCGTCACCAAATATGTTAACTTTGTTTGAAAACAATTATTCGAAAACATTTATTCGAATTGTAAATTGTTTGAATGAAAATCAACCGAAAAGGACAATTATACTAAATGATAATTATTTGAAATGCAAAATTCTTTATTGCACATAAAATGTAAAAATTAAAAAGAGAAATACACAAATGATAATTTTTCGAAATACGAATATCGTTCATAAAATAATTTAGTAAGAAAAAATCCTATTAACCTTAAGTTATATAATACTGCACGCAAATAGTCAACTACTGAAGAATACTTGTTAAAAGATGCCACTAATTTTTTTAAGCTTTCCATTTTCATGATTGTATTTCTTAGTGCTCTTGATATTTTGGTAACTTGCTCTTGCAATATAGATTTCTTGTAAATCCTGTTTTCTTTTAAGAATGTCTAACATTTTCCATCTTCTGGGATGATGGGATAACACTGGACCGTTATTAGATATAGGTAAATCAGCATTGACTCTTTCAAAGCAAGATCACATACGTACACTATTTACATTATTCGGACTATTGTCCTCATCTTTGTCGTCATATTTATTAGAACGTTTCGGCTGTTGTACGCTCCGGCCTTCTTCAGGTGGTTGGAATGTCGAACTGAACCCTTTATTTCGCTCACTGGGGTAGACTGTTCTAGTTCCACGTGCCATGTTTAAACTGAACTCACACTCTTTGGGCCCTGTCACTGTATCTAAGTAACGCCTTTATCCACTGTGCCATGTGTCCTCAAAGTGAGCGAAAAAAAAAACACCTAAAGAAGGCCAGGGCGTACAACGGTCGAAACTTTGTAATATATATGACGACAAAGATGAGAAATATAGACAGATACTGAAGGGCCGAAACGTTGTAATAAATATGGCGAGAAAGATAAGGACAATAGTCCGAATAATATAAATAGTGTACATAATACCTCATCTGAGAAATATACACAGATTCTGAAAGGCCGAAACGTTGTAATAAATATTGCAACAAAGATGAGGACAATAGTCCGAATAATATCAATAGTGTACATCATACCTCATATCAGAAATATAGACAGATGCTGAAGATAACATACGCATTTCAAACATAGGTATTTTGAATAATTATCATTTATTATCATTCTCCTTTGGATTAATTTTCATTCAGACAATTTACATTTCGAATATATATCTTGCGAATAACTGTTTTCGAACAAGGCTCACATATCGCAGACAATTTAGAAGTATGAGTAATTAGCATAAAATCTACGGACGTTTTCGCTTTCAATGAATTAAGAGGTGATTTTGTGTTCTTGTACTTACCGGAATAAGATTTATTGGTCAAATTAATCTGGATGAGCTCGGAGAAGATAGGAAGCAAGTCTTTAAGTCCTCTACATAGAAGGCACATACGTATTTCAAACATAGGTATTTCAAATAATTAACATGCAGTACAATTGTCTTTTCGATTAATTTTCATCCAAACAATTTACAATACGAGTAAATGTTTCGGAACAATTATTTTAAAACAATTTTTCTCGATACGGAAAAATGAACACTGACAGGGTATCGACGGTAATGGAGATACGAAAAGGCATTGGCTCTCCTCCTTGACAACCTTGAGTGAATGGTTTGCAGAACGGAAACGGAAGCAGAAAAAAAACTCTTATTAGGGATAGGAGCTGTTGTGCGGAAAGGATATGACATCTAGGAAAAAGAAGGTCATACAACAACCGTCTTTTCTCGATATTTTCTCGATGTAGAAAACCTGACGTCATTTTAATCTTAAATGTCACATTTTGTGTTCCATTGATGGTGTAAGATTGTAAAACTCTTTCTTTTGTCGATAACATTTTTCTATATTTGGATACATTGTTTATTTTTTGTCTCATTTTTCATTGTCTTAATAACCCACCCCACCGTTCCCACTTAATTATAACGTTGTTAACGCCTGTGCGGATTATACAACAGTTTATAGGTGTACCTCCAAAAATAACCTTCAAAACACCACCAAAGATTTCCTGTTATAGTGAATGTGTATGCGGATTATACAACAGTTGATAGGTGTACCTCCAAAAATAACCTTCAAAACACCTCTAAAAATGTCCTCTTGTAGTGAATGTGGTTGTATATATATATATATATATATATATATATATATATATATATATATATATATATATATATATATATATTCTTTTATTCGGTAATTATACTTACTAATAAATTGCTTTTAGTCGTGTTCCGAAAATAAAATGTCCCTCTTCATCTACAATTCAGTTCTTGTGAATATCGTGTTTCGTCTTCGAAGAAATATTGGTCAATAGAATTCTTAATGAAAAAAATGTCTACAGTTCTTTTTAAGTCACTATATTTATTATGTGGTGTCAAATCATTATTCAAATATTTCCGTAATAGATACCATAGAAAATTATCGACGAGCATAACCGTTCCATCCGGCTATGGCATAAGGTTATTTCACTTAAGCCAAGCGTCCTGTCTTTTATAAGTGATAGGTTGCTCAAAATTAATATTGCTTTCTGTCTTTCTGTTGAACGGGCTTTCATAAAACATGAGTTACATAAATTATTTCAGTATTCCTGCTCATCTTAGCGTCTATTTCAGTTATCTTTGTACAATATTAGGAACAAGCTATATTTCACTGATTTTTTTCGCTTTTCTCGCTTGAGAGTGGAGAATATCCTACAATATTTAATAAACTAAAAAGGAATTATACCAGAGAAAATGATCGAAACTTATATTTAGGAAATATTTTTCCTAATTCCAAAAAACGTAAGTTCTCGCTTACAGCCATGAAATATATTTTGCCCTAAATCTAAAAAAAACATTTTTATAGTAACTAGGTGATCAAATATTGTTCAAATGTAAATTCAAATGTTTATCTGCCAATTGCAGGGTATTTATTGCATTTACTTTTAAAAAAGAAAATTTTTCCAAGCAGGAATGGTTACGAAATTTTTATTTTTATACCTGTTAACAGGATTTAGGTTAGTCATGAAATACTTATTATTTTAATTTTGTGTTCAGTTTGACTTGACCACACCTGATTGCAGCCACCAAATTATCAACAGCATCTTTCAAAGTTAGTTATGGATTTGAATTTTGTATTTTAAATTTAATTTTTGCCAGTTTAGACTGACTGGAGTGACAAGGTGTAATCGATTTCTATTTTTTATCAGATTAGGTCATTTGCAGTGGTGTGCAGTAATATGAATCTATTTTCGGGGTGTATGATGCAATTTGTTTGGGCTTAAAAAACTATTGCATCAACCGTAATTGCATCAGATTTTCATAACAACCAGACACTATTGTCTCGGCGGTCGATTAGTTTTCCTACAGCCATTGTCTGCGATGGACGTTACTTAAAGCAAGCGTACGAAAATTTGTAACGCTGCACGGACAAACTGGCAAGCCTTACCAGTGAGCAAATCAAAGTACTATAAACTTGCTCCTGATTTAAATGCACTCGAGAATCTGTGGTTAATCTGCAAGGAAAGACTTTGCGGAATGGCGATACGAAGTACTAACATGTGCATTGGCTTATGTTTCATTGAAAAAATACGAAAAAAGTAAATAATAACGGAATTATTCGTTTTGTTTCAATTAATTTGCACAAGGGGATATCTATGTATGTATGTATGTATGTATGTATCTATATATATATATATATATATATATATATATATATATATCATTCTGTTCATATCTATCTTTCTACCACAGTCTGTATCTATCTATTTTTCTCTCTTTCTTTCTTTCACAGTATCTATCTATCTATCTATCTATCTATCTATCTATCTATCTATCTATCTGTCTGCCACAGTCTGTATCTATCTATCTATCTATCTATCTATCTATCTATCTATCTATCTATCAGTGTCTGTTCCTGTCTATCTATCTATCTATCTATCTATCTATCTATCTATCTATAATAGTCTGTTCCTATCTATCTATCTATTCTATCTATCTATCTATCTATATATATATATATATATATATATATATATATATCAGTTTCTTCCTATCTATCTATCTATCTATCTATATATCTATCAGAGTCTCTCTCTCTATCTATCTATCTATCAGAGTTTGTTCCTATCTATCTATCTATCTATCTATCTATCTATCTATTTATCTATCTATCTCTCTATCAGAGTCTGTTCCTATCTATCTTTCTATCTATCTATCTATTTCTTCGCTTTCATCGCAAACTTAGTCACCATTCCGTTACAATATGAGACGCATACAGAATTAAAAGTTCAAAGTTATCTTAATTCTCTGCTCACTAAGCGATATGGTTTTGAGAATGGAGATTTAGATAAGCATTTATTTAATCTCTCCAATGTCTCCCTTACTGCGATTCAACGATTATTCCTGGTTCAACTTTTGTATCCGCCACTTCTTCACTAAGCAAAGTGAATTTTTTTTTTCTGAGTTTGAATTATTATTCTCTCAATTACACTAGCATGAATCATTATCTCCTGACAAATTCTCTTTATGTAAACCTAGATTGTCTGAATTATCTAGAGAGTATTTGTATTCCTCTGTTGTTTGTCACTTCCTTGCGTGGCAGAGTCTCCATTATCCTTAAAATCTAGGAGTGATATATATTTATCACTAAACCAGATAAATGTTCCGGAGTGGTTATTTTGAATCGTCTGGATTATGTTAATAAAGTGGCAACCATTTTGTATGATTCCTACAAATTTAAGAAAATGTTGGCCAGAATCGGGCCCAGGGGATTGCCCATCGAAACACCATCGACTTGAGCGTACATATTCTCATCAACTAAACTACATTCTTTCTGTTTATTGGTGTGTTGACGGATTCAACCATTTTCTTTTGATTTCACGATATTGTTATGTACATTTGTTTGGGAGAGTAGTAATTCTTCCAGTTGCTAAGGACATTTTGTTTTTGTTATTATTAGTTACTTTGTTTAAATAAATTCATTTCGTTTTTTGCCTTGAGAAAGTCCACATTGGACGAAACGTGTTGGTAACTATTACAGTTTTCCTATTGTCATTTATATATATATATATATATATATATATATATATATATATATATATATGTATGTATGTATGTATGTATGTATGTATAAATGCAAGATTGGTACCATCGACACCTTCATAGTGCAATCACAACCATGTGGCAAGGATGAGTGATGATCGTATATCAAAAGTTCTTTTCTACAGTGAACTCCATAATGGTCATAGAAATGTTGGTAGACCTTGGTTCAGGTATGAAGATAAACTGAAGAGCAACCTTTCCATTCAAGAACTTTGAAGAAGTAGCTAGGAAGATATCAGAGTACGATTCTGATTAGGGAATGGTTTGCCAACATATATCACCCGAAGAAGACCGGAGCGTACAACGGCCAAAATGTTGTGAATATAGCAATGAAGATGAGGATAACAGTCCGAACAATGTAAATAGTGTAAATAATTACAATACCGCATTTCAGAAATATAGATGGATCCTGAAGAAGGCCGGAGCATACACCTGTTGAAACGTCGTGAATATGGTAATAATGATGAGGACAACAAATTGAACAACATAAATAGTGTAAATAGTTACAATACTTCACCTCAGATATATAGACAGGCAGTAGTATCAGCATTTAATTTTAGGAATTGCTGAACATGTCATTTATTGTATTCGATTTCCTCTCAAGAAACACTAAGCTACATTCCTTTGTTACACCAGCTTAGATCTTCACATTTATGAGACGCATGCCAGGTTCAAATTATCCCCATTTCACTCAACAGCTCTAGTTTGATAAGATAACTCCCGAGAGGATGCTTTCCCGATCACAACACTCTTAAGCTCTTCAAGTGAAAGTGCAACCGCTATCTCTCCTACATATCTGCACTTACCTCGATACAACAACCATATTCAGTAACCCTCTACATTGAGTGGCTCTTGGGTCTTGTATGGGGGAGTGAACATTTAGTAAAAAATGGAACGGTAGACTTTTTCTTTATTTTCTATACGCGCTTCTTATTTTATCGGTCTTTATTTCCGACGAGAAGCTCCAGAAATATGATTAATTGGAGATTTTTTTTAAACACAGTCAGTTATGTGCCATGCGTGATACACTCTTAGGCGATCATGTATCTTTCGATACATGACTGACGAGGCAGATTTTTCCCCTAGTAGATTTCCATTACTTTGTGCCGTAGACCAGTTGCCATCCAAGGCTAAAGAAACCGGTCTGTCCGGCTATTTACCCATAGCTGGGCGGGGGAAGAAGAAGAGGATTCATACCTTTCCCATTAGCACGTAAGTGAATGTAATGGATTTGAATGAAATTCGAACTCGTTTCTCTGATTCCTCAGTTGGAGCCGATATCCATTACCCCGCAGTAGGGGAAGTCAGGAAAAAATTAGCAATTACTAAAATTTCCAATGCATTCTTATAGTAAAAATCATTTCCAATGCATTCTTATAGTAAAATCATTTCCAATGCATTCTTATAGTAAAAATCATTTCCAGTGCATTCTTATAGTAAAATCATTTCCAATGCATTCTTATAGTAAAATCATTTCCAATGCATTCTTATAGTAAAATCATTTCCAATGCATTCTTATAGTAAAACCATTTCCAATATATTCTTATAGTAAAATCATTTCCATTGAATTCTTATAGTAAAATCATTTCCAATGCATTCTTATAGTAAAATCATTTCCAATGCATTCTTATATTAAAATCTTTTACAATGCATTCTTGTCAGTCAGTTATGTGCCATCCGTGATACACGCTTAGGCGATCATGTATTTTCCGATATTGTATCCATTTGCGGAAAGAAATATAAAGGGGAGGCTGGCCGACCCCTTAAGGTAAGGCTTCAAGAACACCAGAAAGCTGTAACACGAGGGGAAGTGGAAAAATCAGGCGTGGCTGACCACATATGGAGAGAAAAGTGAGATCACCGCCTTCTGTGGGATCAGGTTGAGATCATAGACAAAGAAAATCATTGTCGACCAAGCATAGAAATGAATACAATATGGGAACCAGTAATAAGGAGTGCTAAAGAAATAACAACAAAAAATTGCAATATGAGCTCTGGTAAAAAATATGCCATGATAGCAGCAAAAATTGCAATATGAGCACTGATAAATATATGATGATGACATTAGGTTAATAATACCCAGAAATTCATACATGAATACTTTCAAGGACAAATGGCACAGTGGATAAAGGCGTTAGTTAGATCGTGACAGGACCCAAAGAGTGTGAGTTCAATTCCGGGTTAAGGCGGTGGAGAACTTTGAGAGGAATTAGACATGGCACGTGGAACAGTCTAACCCAGTGACCGAAATAAAGGGTTCAGTTCGACATTCCAACAACCTGAAGAAGGCCGGAGCGTACAACGTTGTAATATGGCGAAAGATGAGGACAATAGTCCAAATAATATAAATAGTGTACATAATACCTCATCTCAGAAATGTAGACAGATAATGATGTAAATAATAAACATGTCAATTAATTTCACCTCAGGAATTTTGTAGCCATTCTTATGCCTCGGGCATGTAAATATGGCTGAATGTAATAATGAAAGGCCGTGTTCATGTCCCTTGTGAATTTGAATACATGTTCATTATGCAAACAAATTACGTTTTATTTAATGAACTCCCTTTTCGCTATGAGTTAGGTCAACATACCATGATCCTTGTTGACACCACAATATGCTCAAACCTTTTGGTGAGTTAGAATTAATTGATTTAAAAGCATTTCAATAGGAAGGTAAACATTCCAAAATAGATATGCACTAATTAGTGAAAGCAATTTTTTATCTTTCCAAAATTCATTAATTAGAAAGAAACCTTAAGAATTATAAACAAGCTTTAATTAAAGAACATTTCTTTCTTTTATATATATTTACATTTTTCTGTATGGCCGTATAAAAACCAAAGGAAGAAGATATCTAAGTAACTACATTTCACCAACAAATGAGATTTCGAACAACCACTAGTCCCAATGAATATCTCCTCGGGAAGGTACAGTGACTTGAGAGAATATTCGGCCTCAACCTGACACCCAACCTCAAGGGGAACTCTTACATATGATCCATTGATAAAGACACAGGTAAAATGATTTTCTACTTGTACCACTACCCGTCCTGGGGAAGACGTTAAACTACATCCGCGTCCTGGGGAAGACGTTAAACTACATCCAGCAGCAAGGCCTCTGATCAGGAGGTTTTGAGGAGTGTGGAACCACCTCTTAATTGCTGGTGTTTCCAGGTCCACTCTGACCTGGGGTGGTAGCATCTGTTAGGGTCCCAGCTATGGGCAAATAGTTAATTATTGCCAGCAAAAAACGTTGAAGTAAAATGTTAACAGAAACAGATTTTTGAAATACAAAATATTACCAGTAATAAAAAATGTTTTCGGTATTAACCCATTGAGGTTGATATGCCGTAAAACAAAATAAACCAAACCAAACCAAACCTTGTACCACTCCAGTTAGTAACTTACTGTTTATGCTATCTTCTACCTGTATGAGAGCCAGATCTGGTTTAAAATGGAGTACTGTTGCCATATTTAGGCAGAAGCTGCCTTGTCCTCAATTTTCCAGTCTTGATAGAGTTCAAAAGTGTCTCCGAGTCCTTTTGGCATTTTCAACACTCCACCCTCTCTCTCACTCTCTCTCTCTCACTCTCTCACTCTCTCTCTCTCTCTCTCTCACACACACACACACACACACACACAGAGGCACGATGTTTCAAGCCCCTCATTGCTCTATTGTTACTTCCATGGAAAATACTCGGATGAACTATATTCCTTGATTCCAACCTTCATGGACAAGGTCTGCCATGGCACAACTGAACTTGTGTCACAACCTGACTCTGTGGGGGGGATCAAGTAAATCACGGGCTTTCCCCCGGGTTTTTCCAAGGGGATTGGAGGAGGCGGAGGAGAAGAAGTAGGGGATGAGGAGGGAGAGGAGGAGGAGGGATGATTACAATAAAAAAGAAAAGAAATACTGAAATGTTTGAATTATATTTTGAATGGATGACCCCCTCGGGGAGGCACCGAGCCTTGAGAGAATATTGGGCCTCAAACTCACAACTGACTTCAAGTGGAACTCTTACATATGATCCACCAATAAAGATACAGGTAAAATGATCAGTTCCTACTACCATGTCTAGTAAGTATCTGACTGCTCCATGTTATCCTCTACCTTCATAAGAGCCAGATCTGACTGAAAA